AGAAAAAAAAAAAAAAAATTGTTTCTTGGAGTAAGGGCAATTTTCATTCTTGTCTCATCAAAATTGTGTGTTTGTGTGTGTGTTTTACTTATATTTACAGATCTTGCTAAAAAACATTCTATTTCCTGGAGAAAGAAGAAAGGAGGAGAAAAAAGGACAATGTTGGCCCAGAAGCAAGCAGAGGAAGCCATTGTCTCCACCTTCGATTCGGCCGAAAACGGCGGCAAGGAGACCGCCGGAAACGCGGAGGAGCCGCCCATTTTAAGCGTCAAAAACATGCTCTGGCACGGTGGCTCCGCCTGGGACGCCTGGTTCAGTTGCGCTTCCAATCAAGTAATTTCGTATTGTTATATAAACTGTGTGAACTATTATTACAAGGAGATCTACTGAATTTATTTTCTAACATTATTTTTTTTTTATATATTTAAGGTTGCACAAGTGCTTCTAACACTGCCATACTCATTCTCGCAACTTGGAATGTTATCTGGGATAATTTTCCAAGTGTTTTATGGGTTGGTCGGTAGCTGGACAGCTTACCTTATAAGTGTACTGTACATCGAATATCGAATGAGAAAGGAAAAACAGGGCCATAGCTTCAAAAATCATGTCATTCAGGTTCATTATTGCTACAGATATCATAAGAAATTTGATTTATTTAAGCTAGGTTCTTTAAATTGATTTATATGATTATCTCTGAATAAATGTTTTGTTTATTTATTTATTTAAATAATGCAGTGGTTTGAAGTGCTAGATGGATTGCTAGGTCCTTACTGGAAAGCATTGGGTTTAGCCTTTAACTGCACTTTTCTTCTATTTGGCTCTGTTATTCAACTCATTGCTTGTGCAAGGTAACTATTTTATTTTTTTTTTAAAAAAAAAAATCTTCTCTTTCAAAATCACATCTCCCCGGAAGTATTACGGTCCCGTTACGGAACCATTTCATCGAGTTTGTAACCGTTACATCATCAGGTAACCGTGGAGATAGTTGATCTAACGGTTACAAATTCAGACGAAATGGTTTTGGGACCGTAGCATCTCCCCTATAATTGTGATATTATTACGAATACGCGTTATTATTTATCCAACGAATGAAACATGAATCGGAACATGATTTCAGAACAAGAGGTCTCATTGAGCATTTTTAAATCCAAAATTGAGTCGTTCTTTTTTCCTCATCTTTTTCATAAATCCAAAAGTTTTCTTTTTGTTTTTGTTTTTGTCTTTTGGGGGGTTTTTGTGTAATGGATTTTTTTTTTAAAAAATTTTTTGTTTTTGCAGTAACATTTACTACATAAATGACCACCTGGACAAGAGGACATGGACTTATATATTTGGAGCATGCTGTGCCACAACTGTTTTCATTCCCTCGTTTCACAATTACAGAATTTGGTCAGTTTTAGGACTTGGAATGACCACTTATACTGCTTGGTACTTGACTATAGCAGCACTTGTTCATGGCCAGGTATAAATTAATTACTGCAAAATTTTATCATAACATAACATGTTTGTACTAATCTACTCAAAGTGGTACTATGTACTACAAAAAAATTGTTATATTTCAATGGAAAATCTTATGGTAATACATTTCAAATAAAATTCCAACGGATATTCTTAATGATATGATTTCCGTTGGAATGGTAATTCCAGCGGAAATATTCCGTTGGAATGTGTTTTTCATTGGAATTTTAGATGAAATTTGATGATTCAAACGGCTATATTTCCAACGGTTTTTTATCGTAGGAATTTCCGTTGGAATTTGTATTTCCACCCCTATTGAAAAATTCACCGTTGGAATTGTCAAAATTCAACGGAAAGTCCAATAAAAAACACATTCCATCCGAATATTTTTGTTAGAATTTTCGTTGGAATCCATTGAAAAATTCTAACAAAAATAATAATTCTATGAGAATATATTTTTGAATTTCGTCATTTTCTTACAGTAATGTCCATTTGACTTTCAAAAAGATAAAAAAGAAAATAAAAATTGTGAAAGTATGAAATAATAATCATTTTGTCTTGTGAAATGACACAATTATCTTTACCGCCAGAAACCTTTTAGAAATTCCAGAGGTAAAATGAGCTAATGAATCTGTAAAAATATGTTTTGCCTAAAATAACCTTATTTTATGATTTCTATAATAGCAACTTGGTAATTTAATAATGTTAAAGGGTTTTATAATGGTAACATTTTAATTTAATAGTGTTAAAGGCGAAGAACGTGTGGGCCCATGTTATGTGAAATTGGGAACTTCCCGTAGACAATAGGGTGCAAGAATTGGGGATGACAAAAATCATATACAAAGATAATGTTGCTAGCTATATTTTTTATTAGCAGGTGATGAAATATGCTTTTCCGAATTGGGCTCCCTAATAGGATTACGTTGCTAATATATTTTTTATACAATATTTGTAAACACACTTAATTAATAAGAAAAATTACACAATAAAAATTTTAATGTTTAAGAAGGAATAAAAAAAATGTTATATTGCAATGAATAAAATTTCATTGGTTACTCCATCAGAGATTACATTGAAATTTAGTGGATTTAATGATTTCAATTATCATTATTTATTGTTGTGTGAATTTTCATTGAATTTTTTATCTTGTTTCAATCGTTGGAAAAACTGTCGATTGAATTATAAAAGTTTCAATGAAAGTTCAATTAGAAAGCTAATTGCATTGGCGGATCCAAAATAATTTTATAATGGATATCCTATTTAGTAAATTAAAAATGTATATCATCAAATTAACATAATATCCTTACAATATATAAATTATACTTTCATTATTAATCATCTTTCACAATTGCAATACATTTTTAAAACATTAGTACAATCACAATAAGTTAAAAAATATTTAATAAAAAAGGCATAATTGTTCCCATAGAGATAAAATAATGAGTGATTTCTGAAAAAAAAAA